GCTCCCCAGTACAAGAGGGATGTGGAGATCCTAGTGAGGGTCCAGTGGAGGGCAACAAAGATGATTAAGGGGCTGGAGCATCTCTCGTATGAGGAAAGACTAAGTGAGCTGGACCTGTTTAGCCTGGACAAGACTGAGGAGGTCTGATCAGTATGTCTAAGTATCTGARGAGATATCTTTAGGGAAGATGGGGATATCTGTAGGGAAGTATCTGTAGGGATGATGGGGCCAGTAAAAATACAAGGGGTAGTGGGTATAAATTAAAACACAGGAAATTTCATCTCCATACGTGAAAGAACTCTGCTGTTCTTTACTGAARTATTGAGTATGAGGAAGAACTTTACTGTTCTACAGGCTGCCCAGGGAGGCTATAGAGTCGTCTTCTCTAGAGACCTTCCAAACCTGCCTGGATGTCACYGTGTGCTCTAGGTGTCCCTGCTGGAGCACAGGCTTGGACTAGATGGTCTCTAGAGRTTCCTTCCAATCTCAACCATTCTGTGATTCTGTGACTTTGAAGGTATAGCTAATACACCAGTGAATGTAAAGAAGAATAATAAGAACAAGCCAAGAACTGATGCTTATCATTCTGGATGTACATTTCAGATATTTTGAATGACAAGACATGTTTTGAAAATATTTCATTTATTGCACACTTCTGCTTTCAGGCAATTGCAGCATATGGTATAAACTGCAGCACTTCTCACAAGTTTAAGGAATGACAAACAACTTTGTTATTAACACRTTATCTTTACTTTTCATTAATGGTTACAGAGAAAACATGATAACCTTACAGAGGAAATTCAGGCCTCCGAAAGCTTCACATATAATTAAATATTTTGTAGACTTTTAAATTAAAACAGAAGTCAACTCTTGCTCCCACCGCCAAATGTCAATGACAGAGCACAGTACAAGTCAAAGTGAACATACTGAACATCATAGTTCCCTATGCTTCTGTCTAATTCAAACAGTTCTGTAATTCTGTCTAACAGTTAATTGAGAGCAAACTTTTCTGCATCAGCAAAATTGAGAGCAAATTACTGTTTCTGTATTTGACTATGGGAGGCAATAATTTGTGCCATGCCACTTTGCTTTCAATATAGCTTTATCCTGGAATTTGTTTAGGTTAGTAGGGGAGTTCTAACTGCAGATGTATGTTTAATTGATGACTGAGATACAAAAAAAAATACAAAATAATATACTACATATTTTGAAAAATACTCATTTTTTTGTATATAATACAAAAAAACCATTTTATATATACAAAAAATGACTATTTTTCAAAAGTGTATTTTTCCACTGACTATAAAAGAGGTGTTCAGTATGGATACTTAATATGATCATTACAGTACTCAAAGTATTAACCACTCTTCTGAATGAAAAAAATCTTTCATCAGCATAAACTTGGTATTGGCAAATATGTAGAACAAGCAATGTTGGTTAAAGACTGACAAGCATTTCACTGACAGAATTACTGGTAAGTTTTCTCTGTGTTTTCCTGCTGAAAAGTGTGTTCTATTACCTTTGGTATGTAGCAAAAGCCATGCTCTTGAGTCCTTACATGTTCAAGAAAGGAGAGAGGTGCTATTTCTTTGGAAGTGTTCCCATGTATTTGCATATGATAGAAAGCATGATTTCGTCTGTACCACCTCCTATTGATGTTAATCTGAAGTCTCTGTAGAAATAGAAAGGGCAGGTTAATACATTTCCATGCTATATCAATAGAACAAATACAGACTTGTTGCTCTATACGTTTAAGCTATCTATGTGATAAGCATAAAGCTGCAGTAGCCCATGGCAAGTCTTAGTATCTTGCATCTTTGCAGCACTGTCCTAGCGGTAAATACTTAATTCTCAAAACTCCTCTGTAATGCAGACAAAAATCCTCAGTCTGCAGCAGGAATCTTGGACACTTGCAGCTTGTTTATATGAACTTATAAATAGGCAGTAGTAAGATCTGGCTTTGATGGTATGTGTCAGACTAACAGCCATTATATAAAACTATTTGTCTTTAATATTAAAGAGAGAGGTGTGGGAGTGTATCTTTTTAGAACTGCTGATAATTTTATTATTGTGTCTCTGGGTAAGAAAAGCAATATTGCCTTTAGTTTTGACAAACAGGCAACCAGTGCAAATCTCTTCCCAGCAGAGAATGGACAGAATGTTTTACCTAAATGAAGAGGATCAAGATGAAAAAAAAWATATATATTAATCTAGTAGCCTTCATTTGGGAAAGAGAATCACTGTCAACAAAAGGAAATAACGCAGGACAACCTTCCTGCGGGAATTCTTTGAGGAAACTGGAGAAKATGACATAGGAAGGACTTGTACATAAGCTGTTTATTTTAAGTTTGTAGCTTGATCATAAACATATCAAAACATATGTATATGKATATGTATATGTGTGAATATATATATATAATTCTGCTGTTTCAGACAAACTTCCTATGCAATGCCTTTGTTCTGAAAAATTAACGCCTTGTTTTATGATCTCATTGCCCCCATAACAAAGTTGCATTTTTGAAACATCTGAAATATCTCTGGGTTGCTGTTATCTAGAGATCAGAGGATCACGGGATCAAGCTCTTTGTAAGGCCCAGGGATCCTTTCAGGCCTTAGTGGGATAGCATTGGGAAATCCACACTGTAGCAGCTTCAGTGCTATACAATATATTGTCAAGAGCCCAGTAAGCCTGTAACACACTCAACAGCTAAGGTACAATTTTGAGGAACAGAACTTTCAGCCATTTGKTGAATTCTGTTTTCCTTGGAAAGAAGTGGCAGGGAACAGAATGTTCAAGKGGTTGTCCTGAAGAAAAAGATGAAATCTATTTTATTCTGTCAGTCCTGAAATACTCCCTGAAAATAGCTTTCTCTCATTCAGGACATCTCATGCACCTGAAACGTCAACTTTTAGAYGGTAAGATTTATCCTGCTCAACAGTCAAAGAGATATAAATGTAATTTTCTTTTATTWTTTTTTTTCCTTACAGATGAAAACATTCACGTCTTCAGTGTGAAATAGAAGAATTAAAAGGGAAGGTGAGGACCCTTTCCACCCACAAGCAACTTTATCAACAAGGTTATGGTTATTTATGGTTATCAACAAGGTTATGGTTTATGGTTAGGTAGCAAATAGCAGGGAAAAGACCCTCCAGGTTGTCAGCTCCCCGTCTCGATGGGTGCTATAACATGTTACTTCCTTCAGACATGTTTCAAGGACTGTTTTAAGGGAGATACTTGTGCTTTTTTTCCCCCCACACAATTTGCACTATTCTAAATTGAAATCTGTCATGATTAAGAACCCTCTAATTTATTGCCCAAGCATTTTCCTGACTAATAGAATCCATTTACTGATGCCAGTTTAGCTGGTATCCTTCAGTTTAATTCTCCTAGCTGATATTTATCCCTTTTCTGTGCCCACAGACAGCAATTCAGCCTTTCTTTTTCAAAAAGAAACTGCATCTTTTACCTTATGTATAATAAACCTTTTAGTCCACAGTTATACTGAAAAACARGGCTGGTACTTGTTCGAGTTTGAGGTCTTCCTTCAGTGCCATTTCCCTAGCGTAAAATAGGGACATGACCCTAACACACAGTGAGCACAAGGCTAGTGATCATCAGCAAAGTTATTGAACTCRTAACATGCTATACCAGCACAATCTGCAGTTACCACCACCCTAAAATTCACTCTCTTCCGCCTCAAACCTATAAAAAATTGTAGCATCTTGCAGCTCTGCATGCTACAGCCATTTACTACCAACAATCAAAGATCTTCCTCTGCTCATGTTGCTACTCTAAATTACATTTTCCTCTGGAAATCCACATGGTATTATGATCTGAAAAGCCCTTTCTGCTCTCAAACAGTGTGAAGTAGACTGCTACGCTATCCTCACCTAACTTTAAAAGCCTAAGAAAATACACAAAGTCCTTTATCTTCCCTTTTTCTGGCAGGGAAAGTTGGAATTACYAGTTCATGTGGGAGAAGAAAGTGAGACCTCTGTTCAGAGTTGGTTTTGGGTAATGTAACTGTGTGGGTGCTTATTTTTGGCATCAACATAGCACTGACTTCCCTCTGGCAGTAATTTCTCAGAGGTTTTGCTCTTTGCTTCCCTAGTTGGGAGGACATTAGTACTGTGTCTTGCTAAATCCTAACTATTTTGTTAGCTTGGAATAATACTGATTTCAAAAAGGCTATTTAAATACTGCTTCCTTTCAGTACAACATGCACTTGATTACAAAAGGCCAATGCTTGTTCCACACAACATTATCTTGTTAAAATTGTACTAGTAGCAAGATTTTTCTCAACGGAATCTACTGATACACCTTCAAGATCAATATCTTAGTCTCTTTCCTTTTCAGAGTCAGCTAGATTGTTTATAGACCATCAAAGTTGAGCATAATCTAAAAAAGCCTTTAATCCAGAGGGAGAAGGTGGATCTGATATTATACAGTGTGGTAGGCTCTAGCAATACTAGCACAGAATAGCTAAGCAGTGGTTGTGCCCAACAGTTTTCATGCTCTTACTCATTTCTGCAAAAGGGATTTTTTTGGGAAAATAAAAAAATAAAAAAAAAAAAAAAAAAAAAAAAGATGGAATGGGAATGACCTTGGCCTATTCTGAGGCATAACTCCACTTAAAAGTCACATCACTGTGTGGTTGCAGACTTCAGTTTTGCATGTTTGAGCTACATGTGCTCCATTATCTAAAAATTCCTCCCCCACTTAATTGGGCTTGCAAGACTATGATACAGCAAAGGCAGAAATTTCCAGAACTTGCTGTGCTGCCTGGAAGCAGGTCTATTTTCCTCCTTGCCCCAAAGAAATCATGAGAGCTTTCTTGAACCTTTCATAGCACTGCAAGGAAAGCAGTCTAACATTCTTTCTATTAAAGCCCCACAAGAATAAAATTTCTTAAGAATTAGCAGCAATTAGAAACAGTGTTTAGTGGCTGAAATGATCTTAATAAAAAATAAGATGGTAATTTGACAAGTTATTTCAATTTTTTTCTGGAAGTGCACATAATTGCTACCAAAATACATAGACTAGTAGCTGAAAAAAAAGTCTTGTGATGAAGTTTGAAAAATTGCAGTGTATTTGCTGTATATTTTCCTTCTCTCTGATCTCTAATAAGCTGGGGTTTTCATATAGATGATATAATTCTTCAATAATTGGTCTTTTCTTAACTTTCCATATTTTTGATGCATTTGTGGCCCGGGTGGGGAGAAAAGGAGGAGAAAAATAAGCACAAACTCCAGTCTGACTCTCTCCAGAATTATATCTGGAGGGCAAAGTTTGCAAAGTCCAGTCCACTTCTGTTGACTTATATATTTATTTCTATATTTCTATTAAACCCTTTGGTACTTGGGTTCAAATCTTTTTCCAAACTCATTCTCCTTTAGAATCTCTCCAACTGAAAATGAAACATCTACAAAGTGTAAAACTCATCCTAAGCCAGCTATCTATAATTACTCATTCAAGAGAATACTGTACTTTTAAAAAGTCACATGTTCTACACTGTATAAAAGCCTAATGATTTAAAAATTGTGTTTGTGAATAAAGTGAACCAAGAGTCATAAGTGACCAAGAGTCATAAATAATTCCAAGGACATAATGTACTAACTATGCATTATGCTGTGTGGTCTTTGAGGAATAACAGCCTGACATATTTCAGGCACTAGCATTTCCTTGGAAATCTGGTCAGGCTTGTGCTGCAGAAGTCTTGGTACGTTATGACTGAGTGTCATGCTATGCAGTTATGGTCAGTGCCGCTTGCTACTTTAGCAACATCACAGTGACGTGAATGGTTGCTCAGATCGATGCATAAAAAACAAAACTATTTTAAGAAAGCCGCCTCTTTGCTATCGTTAGAGATTAACAGGATTATAGCAAGAACCTGTAATTGTTTATTTAGGTAATATTCTACTTTGCTCTTCCTGGATCTTATCGCTACTTAGTAATGGAATAGACTGATTCATAGAAAATGTTACTGGGTGGATATATCTTAAGTCCTTTAACCCATTTTATTTTAGAGGCAGATAAACCGGCTTCTTTAACCATGTGACACAGTTCATATCATAAGAAATACTCTATTCTTTCCAGGAACACATTAATATGACTGTACTAGTGTGCCTAGAAACTACTCTGGGATTCACATTGCAATGCTCTGCCCAGGATCAGCAATAATATATGGTTAAGAAATCTAAAGAAAAGTCAAAGCTATATATATAAATGCATGTGGATTAATCCCTACATATCATTACTTTGTTAGTAAGTGTTTTGAGACAAGAATCKCTTTAGTCAGATGCCTGTGGCAGTGGCATACAGCTTCTGCATCACCGTGAAGCACTAGCTGCTAATAAAAAGGTTGTGGTAAAGGCAATGAAGAAAAAATATCAAATTGAAAGCCACCATAAAAGAGTCTGCACCTTCCCTGGAAAAGTTCAGGAACCCACTAATCAACAATGGCTGGAGGTCTCTCTGCCCTACCACAAGGGTATTTCTGATCATAAAAATGACATTAAAAATGGAAAGAGTAACTCTTAACTCTAATGAACTGTGCCCTGCAACTCCACTGTCGATGGTTTTTGTCACTAAAGAGGGTGGACACTGCAGAAAGACAGACTTGAGAGTAACAAGCTTAGCTGTGTCATTTGCCGGGAAGGAAAGCGACTGCATGACCTGTGCTGTCAGACCATATTACATGGGTGACACATTAGAGTATGACCTGGGAGTTTGGATCCCCCTGCAAACAGATGAACTAGGAAAAGACAGGAGTTAAACATTGGAGTTTAACTAACTCTCTCTCTCTCTCTCTCTCTTTCTCTACCTGTTGCATTGGTTTAAGCAGAAGAGACATGTCAGAAAATTATTTACAGGCTTATATGCCACTCTCTCGCACAGTTTTTACTTTTCTCTTGCTGTTTTCTACTTCTTTGGAATAACCTGCATCACTTTAAGCAAATTAACATGGTATAAAGAAATTTCTATAGTTTTTTTTTTTTAAATGCTCTGTTCTCACTTTGCATATTTATTAAAACTTTGACCTAACCGGTCTCCGTTGGTTCTTCTAGAGCAGGATTTTTTTTTTCATGGAGTTAAAGAGGACAAATATGTATTTCTCACGTTCATGTTTTTTCTTATGTCAGTAAAGGAATTTTCCCCATTCTCCATTCCCCTATATTCCCCATTCATTTGCTTACCTATAAAATCTGCTCACCAGGACCTCACTGGAAAAACCCATTCCTCCCCAAAACTGAAGACAACTGTCAGTCACTTCACGAGCCAGGCGACCTGCCTTTAGTTTAGCCATGGAAGCAAGTTTGGTCACATCACTGCCTTCTAGGTAGAGAGCTAAAGAAAGRAAAAAAAAAAAAACAGAAAAACAAAAACCCACCACACAGTTGAACACACCCATCTCACTGCCATTTGTCCCCCCATTTGTTCTTTTCCAAAGAACGTGGGAAGGTTTTTTACATTAAGACAAAAGCACCTGAGAAGACAGATATGGAAGCTCACCAAGAGTCCTGTAGAGCAGGGAGCGAAGGAGTTCCACCTCTGTTGCCAACTCTGCCAGGCGGAAATGCACTGCTTGGTTGTGAAGCACTGGCTGACCAAAGGCTTTTCTCTGGCGAGTGTAGTCAATAGTTTCTTGTATTATATTTTCCAGYGCTGTCAGGACTTCAGAAAAATCAAAACATAGAACAACACATTGTTTTAGTCTGATCTTTTCAGYTAGAAGGGAAACAATATCTTGTACAAGCAGCACATGGTTCTTTGTTTGTTTGGGGTTTCTTTGGAGTGAATTATTCCATAAAYTCAGATTGGGATGCCTAGTTTAAATTCTTACAAAACACAGTCATTCCCATGTACCTTGAAGACAGGTTCTTTACAATTGACAAAACCGATAAAATTGAGAGGAGGGTGAAGGGGTATGAGGAACAGGGAAGAAAAGTAGTAGAAAGAAGTACTCTTATTTCTCTTGAGTACAAGTATGAATACTTTATTCTTAGGGCTGTTTATCATTTGAGGCTTTATCAAAAGCTTGTGACAACTCCTGCTTTCCAGGCTGTGTGTGTTCTAATCCCAAAAGAAAGYCTGAGGCAAATAGTCTGCTCATTGAGGAATGCAGTAGAATATATATTCAAGGAACTTTTCATACAGTAGAAACCTACTTAGAGATCAAGAAGCATGAACAGGCTATTCATTGTACTTGCATTTTGTGAACCAAAATCCCAATGAAGAAAGGAAGGGGTAATTATTAAAATTCATAGCCATGTTTACTAAGTTTTTGGAAACAAAACCAAAGTAGGAGACAGCTGGAAGACAGATGAGAGCRGAGAAAATCTGCTTTAAAGCAAGATGACTGGTTCAATGCAATTGTTTTGAGTAACCTTAGAGAGACTCTGTTTTGAACATAAAGAAAAAGAATTTGCTTTTCAAGACAAAGCAGCCCTTAAATGAAAGACTAGGTTATCAGCTTCTCACAAATTAGCTACCATAACATCAGRCACAGAAGAATTTTGACAAATGTGGAATCGTGGAAAGCAGTATGTGGAAATATGGAAAGCAGTAGGGAGAGGGGAGAGAATTCACAAATCCACCTATATGAGGGTAAAGGCTCTTCCAGTTTATTCATGTAAAAGTGTCTTGCAGAATTCCTCTGTGCTTCTAGAATTTTTCTGTGCTTCTTCAAAGGACAGGTCCTTCTTCAAAGGACAGACCTATGAATGTTACTCTAATATAGCAAAGCTTAACTGTGCAGCTTTTAACTGTTTTGCTGTGCAGCAAACAGCCATGAATATTGTGACAACCACCTTGTACAACATGATAGCATACAGTCCTTTGTTAATCGTAAACACAGAGAAATGACATTCTTAATAGTGAAATTCATTTTCTCTCTGAACTTCTATTTTTTAATATATTCATATATTTGTTTCCTCTTTTGTCATGTAGTCTTCTCCACATCCATCCAGTTTTGAATGCACTCACAACACATGTAGGAACTAACATTCCAAAGCAGCCTAACAGCAATACAATTCTTTAAACATCAGAGACCTTGAAAATCTTCAAATTCAAGACCATGAAGTTGTCAAATGTGGAAAAATCTATTCCTTATAATTCCATCCMACTTACATTTCCACATTTGAACCTTCTGCTCACTGTAAACACAGCTTGCCTTGCTATGTTTCCTCTTAAAATGAAAAGAAATTCATACTTTTTTTTCCTTACAAGGTTGCTGATCACTGCCTAATGACATGCACAATGCTCTATTGCCCCACACTCAACATTTAGTATCTTAAAGATATGGGCTATTCATACAGAATGATCTGTCATCCAGCTTTTCTAGCCATGACTCAAAGCTACTCAGAAAAATAAAACTACACAAGCAGCTAGGTGTAATTAGAAAAGTGACATTCTACTCTCATAGGCATTAAACTCCCTCTTTGCCTCCASTTAAGCAATTCACAAAGACTGTTTGCTTTCTCACCATGCCAACGTTCTTTTCCTGTCATCAGTGTAAACTACATTTACCGAGTGTCTCAACATGTAGACAGATATGGCAGGCGWTTTTTACTTAAACCTTTTTTTTTTTAAGAAACACAGGAGTTTTTACCAATGCTTTGGTACATATCACTCACTAAAAAAGATTATATCTGYGACCAAATTTTCACTTGGCAGAATAAGATTCTTGAAAATTAAAAGCTCGAGTAAAAACCCTTTGAGGAAATTTGCTTTCCATTTGTGCTTTAAATTTAGCTCACTGAAAACTGATTTAAACAGAGGGGAACTCTTCACACATGTTGTAAGTGCTGCCCACAATGAAGAAAATGAACAAGGGAAAGGTAGGTGATGCTTGACACAAAAATACTCCTAAAAAAAAAAAAAAAAAGAGAGAGAGAGAGAGAGAGAGAATGAGAATTGCAGTAAATTGGGAAGGAGTCAAAGCAAGCATGCCAGGATTTGTCCTTAAAGTGTTTAAAAGCAGATTAAGGATTTTCAGCATTAAATGAGTAGTCATGATTAGAGAAGGAATAGAAATGTCCTCTAAGGGCCAGAAATGTCTGTCAGACTGAAGATTAACAATCCTGTAATACTGTGGTGAAATATATCATGTTGATTAAGCACCTCCTTCCCTTCTGAACATCAGTTATTTTCTTTTTCTTGCTTGCCACAATTGGTTTCTTACAAGGTTGGCAAATTGACCTAAAATCTGGGCTTCCTCCTTGCTCCTGTCATCTTCATACGTTTTACATCCAATAGTCAATAGAGAAAAAATGAAAATAATCCAAATGGACAAAGCAAGGCCCGGTTCCTTGCCACTGGCCACTGAACTGCAGGATCACCTCCCTTTGCTGCCTTCAAGCTCTTRCATTCCAGCTCCGCTCGCCGGGCTTCCTCAGGAGGGGTGACAGATGCCCTTCCCACATTGCTCATCTAGATGAGAGGTTAGCCAGCTCTTTCTGGCTGAAAAGGAGAATTGCAACGCGGTGTCCCACTTCCCGAACGGGCTCTTTACTGCCAGGCGATTATGCAAAGTTGGACAGTACCAAGCTACAAGTGGTTTTTAGTACAAGTGATCTAACCTGCTGTGCTTTGTGTCCTGATGCAGTCAGTGTGTGTCAGACTTGCTAGGAGCGTGACTAACGCAGCAGGTTTATCCACTGCTTGGCAGGAAGATGCTTAGGGAATGCCACTGGAACTTGGAATTTTTCATCATGTTTGGTTTGAGATACCAAATTGAGCATACAAAACTGCAGCTAAGTCCTTACTATCTACACAAGCCTTCATTTTATTTTAGAGAGCAATTATTAAAATCTCCTATTGCTTTGATATGGCAAGAAGGCAGTTAAAATTTGAAAAACTCTTTGATTAATAAGTGCTTGGTGTGATCAGTCATGTGTACAAGAGGAGGTGAAGTAAGTACAGCTACTAGCCCTGGAAGGCAATTAGCACCAGACACACAAAAAGATGTAAATTAAAACAAATCCTCACAGCGAAACAAAACTTTCTCTTCCTTTCATAAACTCCCCTGAGGTGGCACGGTGACTACTGTTTAATAGTAGTCACTGATAAGTGAAAAAGAAAGACTTCTTTTTATTTTCATTTTGATGACGCTTATAGAAAAATGACAGGACAAAAGAACAACCTGATCTAACTTTGAAGTCAGCCCCGCTTTCTCCAGGGGACAGGACAGATGATCTGAGGTCCCTTCAGGTAGGATTGCTATCTGAATGTGCACCCACAGATGAGCTCTGGCTGCAGAATAAGCCAGGCATGCAAAGATCTTGGCCTGAAGAGCTGCTCCCCTGTGCAAGCAGCAGTTCAGCATGAGCACCCAGATGCAGCACGGGTGCTGCTCTGCTAACTTGGGCCARCCCAGCTGGCATGATGCTGTCAGAAGCCCTGGGCCCAGTAGACCCAGTAGAGAGGTCTCTTAGCAGACAGCTGATCTGTGCATGAGCAGTAGCTGCTTCTGTGCAGTTTCTAGATATCCAGAATCAGCCCAAGTTCAATGTGGGGACAAATTTGAGAAATGCTGAAGCAGAGGGCTCTCTGTATGAGCGGAAATGCCTGAATGTATTAGGATGGCCGTGCACTTGCAATGATCATCTAAAAGAGGTCTATCCCTTCTAGCTCCAGGGAACATCTATCTTCTCAAGCAAAGCAGAATAGGAGATGCTGACTGCTCAAAAAACATCTCATTCTAGAGCCTGTGGTTAGAGCACTTCCCTCGACACAGTTGTCCCTGTTTGTGCTTTTAATATCAGAGTGAGTTCATATCAAACTAAATTGAGCAGAACATCCTCCCCACCTGGCAAGTGTCCTAAGCAGTGTGCAATAGTAGCACAAGCAGTAATGCCACGTCTTGCCAGGATCTGGAATGGCATCCCTTACAAGTCCAATCTCTTGCTCTCTGCTGAAATTGCCCCACATGTGCTGTTTAGGTCAGGCTGAACCAAGAATTTTGGCCCAAAACAAAGACATCTGAAATCCAAAATATTTTGTCTGGGACCAACTCATAATAGACACTATTTTTTTTTTTTTATTTGGCCACTGAATCAGAAAATCAGCTCTTACAGTTCCTAATTCTCAAAGTAACAGATATAGGATGCATGAAAGAACACATGTACGGCAAGATTTGTACAACTCTAAAATGTAACCGATCTCCTTACATTGGACCACTTTATACTTCAATTAAATCAGCCAACATTATGAGAAAAAATGTTGGAATAGACAATTCAAACTTGGATCTGGTATTCTGGAATATCCAGGACCTGCTATCTCATATATCCAGATTTGATTATGTCCTGAGCTCAGAAGACCGTGAATTCTGTGACAGTATAACTTGAGGAAAAGGAACAGGATAGGCCATTGCATATAGCCAGTAAATACAGAGGTAAAACAGCAGATCTGCAAAAACAAAGCTGCCTGTACACAGCCATTTTAATTTATTTTTAAAATTTAAAAATTTAAAATTTAAAAATTAAAAATAAAGATAAACAACTTGGCTGCCACTTCCATCTATTTCATGCCAGTATTTTGGTCAACTTTGCACTACTTTTGTAGCCCACATAACATAATACTGCATTTTCTTATCAGTAGAAGATGCCAAGAGAAACAAAGCAAAACCAGACATTATGATGCCTCACAGATTATTTTCTTTCTACTTCACGTTTTCCTGTGAAAAGGAAAGTTTGTCCATTTCCAGGCTATGACAGATTGTAAAAATAAAAACAAAGAAGTAGGTATATCTTGCAATAAAAAGGAAGTGCTCTTAGTCATTTTGTAAGATTGACTCCTGTGTCCCTGCCAGCCCCAGAAGCGCAAGTGATGACTTACCAGTGGCTACTCCCCACAGCCTCTCTTCTTGGAATTGCAACATCTGATATGTAAAACCCATTCCTTCCTCACCAATAACGTTTTTGCTGGGGACTCTTACGTTTTCAAAAAAGATTTGAGCTGTGTCCGATGACCTCATGCCCAGTTTGTCTATCTTTTTAGTAATGTGAATGCCTGAAGGAAAAAAGATTAGAAAGGTCATAAAAAATAGCAATTAGAATTGTAAGTGGATGTCTTGAAATCATGCACTATTTATCCGCTTGCATTTGACTTTTAATGCACTATAATAAAATGCTGGAATTCAACTTAAGAATACTTGCTGTGTGCCAACATGGCAGTGAAACAACGAAGAAATATTTCAGAAAAAAAGGCATTAGAATTATGTTTTAAGGTGCAACTAGAGAAATTTTATTCTTGGAAATTCTCTTCCTTCTCTCTCTTWCACATTTATCCTCCTACTTTTACCCTATCTTCTCTGATACCTGTAGAAGAGTTTCAATCAAATACACCTCTTGCTCCTAGTAATAAAGAGGTTAGACATAAATTGACAAACATCAAACAGTTCCAAATCAATTGCAAGTTTTGACAAACCTAAGTATTTTATAATGAAATACAATATAGTCCATTTAAATAGTCACAGAAGGGATTATGATGATCAAGTTTGACTCCTTTGGAGTTTTCATGTGGACACCCTTGCAGAGAGGATTTGTCTTCCCACAGGTTTAAATATACAACATGGATTCTTACCCACTGTGCAATGGTCTTTTGGACACGATTCCTGTATCCTGAATTCCTGTAGAGATCTCCACTGAGATCTCAAAACTCCTCCAGATTTGGCCACAAAAGATTTAAGCTACATAATCACACCAAGTAGATGCATCTTCATCTTTACTTTTTCACAGAATCACAGAATGCGCAAGGTTGGAAGGGACCTCAGAGGTCATCGAGTCCAACYCCCCTGCTCACGCAGGGTCACCTAGAGCACGTGGCACAGGGCTGCATCCAAGCGGGTTTTAAAGATCTCCAAAGAAGGAGACTCCACAACCTCTCTGGGCAACYTGTTCCAGTGCTTTGTCACCCTCACAGTGAAKAAATGCTTCCTTAAGTTCCTGTGGAACTTCCKATGCTTCAGTTTGAAGCCATTTCCTCTAGTYCTATCACTGCCASCACTGAAAAGAGGCCGCCCCCCTCCTCCTCACTGCCTCCCTTGAGGTATTTATACACGCTGATCAGGTCCCCCCTCAGCCTCCTCTTCTCCAGGMTGAACAGRCCCAGCTCTCTCAGCCTTTGCTCATAGGGCAGATGTTCCAGGCCCCTGATCATCCTGGTAGCCCTGCGCTGGACTCTCTCCAGCAGCTCCACATCCCTCTTGTACTGGGGAGCCCAGAACTGGACGCAGTACTCCAGATGTGGCCTCACCAGGGCTGAGTAGAGGGGGATGATCACTTCCCTCGACCTGCTGGAGACGCTTTTCTTAATGCACCCCAGGATCYCGTTGGCCTTCTTGGCCACCAGGGCACACTGCTGCCTCATGGTCAACTTGTCGTCCACCATGACACCCAGGTCYCTCTCTGCGGGRCTGCTCTCCAGCAGGTCCACCCCTAATCTGTACTGGTGTCCAGGGTTATTCCTCCCCAAGTGCAGGACCCTGCACTTGCCCCTGTTGAACCTCATGAGGTTTCTCACCGCCCAGTCCTCCAGTCTGTCCAGGTCCCTCTGGATGGCAGCACAGTCCTCAGGGCTATCAGCTACTCCACCCAGTTTGGTATCATCAAATACCAGTTTGGTATCATCATTTCTCCCCCTATTACAACTTCTGCTTCCTCTAGTTCAAAGGCAAGCACTGTTTATCACTGTGCCACAATGGTTGAATGAATAGCCACTGATTTTTGAAATAATTTCCTTGAAATCTTCTTTGTTCCTCACCTCCTTGTTGCTCTGCGATTAACACATTAAAATTATGGGTTGAAGGTAAGAATGCTTCAGAGGTAAACTGAGGCCAGCAGCCAGTTAGGAGGATTTGCACAAAACATTTTATTCAATCTACCAAATCAATATTTATAAAGAATCAACCAAATCAGCATATATGTCTTTTGTCATATATTGTCTCAGCAAGCTACATACAGACTTGGTCTTCTCACCATTGTTTTGACAAAATCAAATTCATCAATGAAATTAATTGGGTATTTATTTCCCTCCTTATTCTATCTTTTGCAATCCTCTACTAGTCTCTAAAGTGACTTAGTTGGCTAACAAACAGACTGTAGTCCCCTTCTGCACTTATTTGTTCCCTGMTGTCTTTCATGGATTTCAAGGAACTTCTCTTTCTGAACTAATATAGACATTTCAGCTCTGTGTTTTATTGAYAGGAGGCCTTTGGCCTTGTGGGAATTACCTTGGCTTTGCAGGCAGGAGCAGCTGGCAGTCATTTCCTTTAAATTTATCCTCAATGACAGCACTGAATAAAATACAGAAAGTTTCATCTCTTAGCAAATTAGAGATGAAATAATGATGCTGTTTCCAAATGCGAAGACTACTATTAGGGCAAGGTCCACATTGACTTCTAAACCTTTTACTGAGTATTTTTCATTAGCAGTCACTACTTAAGCCAATATACAAGCAGATTATGCTATGAATACTTCCTCTGGTACATGTTCAGTGCAGAAAGAAAATCAGGCCAGCCCTATAWAAATCTTTGACTCTTGGACTGAAAATTATCCAGCAACTTGCATGCAGTCAGGCCAAAAAAGCATTTCCAGTTTGTTTCTATATTAAAATCAGAGCAAAACAAATAAGCACTRAACAATTTACAGGCCAAAATGATTTTTGGAACATTGTTTCCTTGTGGAATATTACCACTTGTTTTCTTAGAGAGCTTCAGGGATCATGTCTTTGGTCTACTTCCAGCTATTTTTATGTAATCACCGCTCCTAAACCACATGAAGATGTACTTAAGGTTCTTTTTTACTGGGCACTTTATGGAGGACTCCACTGAAACAAGTGCAGTTATCAACATTTTTTATTTTGCTAAATCAATCTTATCATTCCCCAGACCCACATATAGCATCCATGAAATATTTTTTGCTAGAGGACCTTATTGTGTTAATGATTTCCTATATCCATTTTTTTTCAGATGTGGAAATTTTCTAAATATTTCTGATTTCCAACATTCCTGATTTGTTCTACCTTATTAGCTTCACTTGCCCCTAGATTAATTCACATTTCTCACTCAGAAAGAGGTCAAACTGTATCAGCCTGAAATAATGCCCCCTCTTTATCAGTGTACACTTTAATTCCTTTCTTTTTTGAACACACTCAAACTTAATAACCTCTCTGGCTATGATAGGGCCATCAAAATCTTCCCTTACTTAAATTCATTTTAATTCTTCTCATAGTGGGACAATTTTAATTCTTCTCATAGTGGGACATTATACACTAAAAATTACTGCTAACAGTAGAAATCTGCCTGGATAAGTCTTGGCACTTATCAGTATCAAAGCACAAGCCATTCAGTTGCCTGTATTCTCAGCCTAGCAAGGTCAAGTGCCTGACTTTCCAATATCACTAACAGAGCCCTCTGTGCTATTTGTTCTAGTATCACTGAGCTGAATTGCTATATCTGTTCCTGGGCAGCTCTTCCCAGGTGTCCTTGGTTTTTCATTTTCTCCTACTCTGTCTTCCGACAATCTTCTTTATTTCCTTTATTCCACCTTGAGAAAAAGGCAGTTGCTCTCAGCTGSCACCATTTAGTGCTACTACAAATGGAAAGAGACACATTTTAAACTGCCACTTGAAAAAATCTTTTCCCCCTTTCTGGACATTTCTCTCTCCATTATCTCCTCCTTGCAATCTATTTTAGTGCTATCTGAGGACAAAATAGTGCACAACTGCCTCCCAGATTAGGGCTGTAAGCCATTTGTACACCATACTTTATTTTGCCATATTTATATATAGACATTTTGTAACCTCTTATATTCTCTTTCATCCCATATGAAGTGCAGTGTTTTTAAAACATCTTTAATAGGTGTCCGATTAATGTCAGCATCCATTGTGCTTCTATACCAGAGTGATCATAGAATCATAGAATGCTTAAGGTTGGAAGGGATCCTGAGACTGCATTCAGCATTGTCTGTCAAAACTAGACTATATTAATTTTACCCCAAAGCAGACTCTGTATGAACCTCAAATCAGAAGAGGCAAACCCTATTTCAGATCTCCAATAAAGTGCTGGCTGTAGAAGTTAATGCTTTGAGTTGGATTTTTTTTTTTTCCCTTGAACGTTACGTTATGCCTGCATGAAACTCAATTAAGTTTTTTACAAGAAATTCTGGATTACTCTCCCACATCCTTCCATCTGCTCGCAACAAATATGTTGCAGCTGTGCTGTGGATTCCTTCCTTCCCTTGCCATATAGAGCAGTGACTGCAGCAGCACTTAGTCAGACCCAACACTCTCGTTCTCCATCGTGCTTGCTCTTGAGCTTCGACATACGTACGTYTATAGACACATCATTGTGCATCATTCTGCGATGTTGTCTACACACTTCCTGTACAGTCTTGGTCTGTTGCCCTCTAAAGAACATGGTATTTGGCAAGCAGACATCCTTAGGATATATCAAAACAGCTGGAGCTTCCTCTTCACATTTGTGTCAAATAGCAGCTTTTTCCAAACTTTTCCCTTTTTTTTAAATCTCCCTCAGCCTAACTTCTGAGCACCCCCTTAATACATCATTTCAAAAGTTCAGTTTTGCACAGTGACCTTTCAAAGATTCACATCTTCATCATATAGAAGAATGAAAACATACACAGTTTAAGGAGTACAACTTATGTTTCTAGGAAGAATTCAAAATCTCTGTGCATCAGCCTCATGTGGCTCAGGCAGTTTTTCTCCTCACAATCTAGTTATCCCTTAAGGCAGAATGAAGGATATCCAGTTTTGTTTTGTGTTCTTCAATAATGGTGAAAACCAAACASACAGGAGTTTAAGTTTTGAACAGTTTTATTTTAATACTAGTAAATATACTGCAATAGTCCCTGTCAATAAAACCTTAACTCTACCCTCTTTGAGTGATTTAATGTATGCACATACAATAGCTTACTGCTGCAAGTTGTGCAGACAACTCAGGAACAGACTTTATGTGGTCTGTAGCACTGAAACTTATACCTCTTAGATCAGGCTCTATTTTATCAGTTTCTTCATTCATGCTTCTAGTTCATTGTTCAAAGACAAGCCTCTGCTTTCAAGATTTTAGAAGTTTTCACCCTGGTCTGCATYTAAGTTACAAAATAATGTGTTATTTAAGCTGATAACGATGACAACAAAGATCAAAAGATCTTTTGGCAAAAAGATCCCTMTTTCTGCTTGAACTTATTGATGAAACCAGCATTCTGGAAAACACTTGTGCTTCTTTTCAACCAACCCACCAGTTTGRGTGGAGGAGCATGGTTACCTGAAGATAACCATGACTCTCAACACAATGCAATCACATCATGCTTGGCAGCCATTCAACACTATGCACGTAGTACATTAATATATACAATACAATATGTACAATATTTATATATCATATATACATATGTGATAATATATATATCGTATATATACATTCAATAAAGGTGGTCATCAATCCCAGACTGGGTAAGTGAGATGCTTCCTGTGAACTGCAAGTGCCAGGGATTAAGACAGTATTGTGAAAGTATTTCCTATGTATTTCCAAAGTTTAAAGTCTCTGAACTCCTTACGCTGTTATTTTCACMAGTTTGAAAATCACTTTTGAACATTTGGGGAAGAGATAAGATAGCAGGCTTAAAAATCTTGGTTTATTGAAAGAGAAAAGCATATATTCTGTTCACCAATCCATATTCAAAAAAGGAAAGAATTTAACACTATTTTTGAAAGACAAATTGAGAGTATTTCACAGTTCATATATAGCAAAGCTTCCTCAGTAAATAGGTTAATATTTGTTTTGAAAACTGTTTGCAGTTTATTTCTTTGGGGGACAGAAAATGATAGAAGTTTAGTGGAACTTCTTAAACATTAAAAGATGCTGCATGCTATCATTTTTAAAATGTCTTTGACTCTTTTTATAATGATTTCTTAGACATTTCTTTTGTCATTACCGGTGGCTTAACTTGCCCATTTATTTTCACAGGAGGTTATAAAATACTCCCATGCAAATATATCTGAACAACTTTTATATTTTTGCAAAAAGATCTCTCCATATAGAATTATTTAGGCACAAGAAACTGAAGTCTGCAAAATATTTAATTTCCTCCTGTTCTCCACCTTTTTGTAGAAATGACAGTGTAATTGCATTTTGTAACTGAGGGTGTAGCACTTAATTTAGCAGAGTATCTAGGAGCGTTGTCCTTTCTCTTAAACACTTTTCATTCTGGTATTGTGCACACGCACAAAAAAAAACACAATAAAATTAAATTAGAAGAAAAAGCGTTCTGCGTTATTACCAGGTAGATTCATTGGCAGACATATAAGAGATTTATTTCTATGAGGAGGTCCTTTACTGGTATTTGCCAGCAGACACATCCAGTCTGCTTGACACCCCRATGTAATCCACATTTTACTGCCATTTATTATATACTCATCGCCTTTTCTCTCGGCTGTTGTCTTGATACCTGTATAAAAAGATAGGAAACTAAGTGTTATTCTTGTGAAGGAAGAATAAGATGAGTTCTATATCAGCTTCTACTCTGAGAGACAGCTACTATTCACCCCTCTCCAAGCCCCCCAAGTTCCCTAAGTCTTCCAGTCTGTGAGAAGCAGATCTTTCTTACAATCTACTTTGAACACACCAAGGAAATAATACAGCTTCCTTGATGAAAGTAGAAAATCCTTACATAAGTAAATTTGACCCTCCAAAACTCAGGCCAGAAGTATCTGAGTCTGAAAGTGATCTGTTATGTGTTTCTGCTACTGTGTACATTAGTCACCGAGGAGGCCATTCATTTCAGAGTCCCTGTTTAAACAAACATAAGCCTCAATACGTGTGTATGCCTAAGGACACACATACACGCACTTCCTGCACCTTCTAGGTCAGAACAGCGTAATAATTCAAAGTCAGTAAACTTTGACAGGGACCAAGTTCAAGAATGTCTATACATGAAAGAGTTCTGAACACCTCCTACTTGTACCATGCCATAAAAATGGCATCTTCATTTGTCAGTATTTACATCATCCTTCAAATAGCCGTAGATGCAACAGACAGCGGGAATGAATCACTAGTTATTATTTACACATCAGCAGGATTTCCAAAGGCTGGCTGCTTTCCCTGACCAAACGGTTGTCATAGAAGCATCGCAGATTGAATTTCTTSAACTAAAACCCCAGCTAAAGTGACTCTCTAATACATGCTTGGCTCTAAGGAGGTGATGGTAAGACAAAAATCAAGCACATTCCCAAAAGCACCTGCAAATCTGACAGAACTGTAAAGTCCATTAGAGTGCATTTTACCGGACTGAGACAATAAAATCTATGGAGGGCGTCAGGAGACTTGAGAGGACAGGACTCATACACAAAGTGGGGTGGGCTGGCACATTTAAACTGACTTGAGTCAGTTGGTTTTACCTTCACATACACCTACCTCAATCTGCACATAAAATTTCTTCCCAAAGACTCTGAACTCTAAACAAAGCAAAACCAAGAACCTGGAATTCCTGGGAAAATTGTGCAATTGTGTAAAATAAGGGAGATATGGATACAGCTGCAGATATAGGAGCTTACAAGGATGAACAGCAAGAAAAGGAGATAATACTAAAGGTGATATAAACAAAAGCCATCTATCAACACTATCAGTGAAAAGATTATGCCAAATCTATCTAAAGGAATTGGTATGGAATCTGTGTGATAATGCAAGCTAACAATATAAAATAATCCAAAGTACTGATATTGGTTTTACATGGACACAGACCTCAAGCAATAATATAGACGGAGACTAAATGATATATGGAGGACACACATAAGAGCTGAAGTAAGAAACACGACGCTGAATCAAAGTAGCATGAAAATGTAAAAAGAAATTGGGGCATATACCAAATGATTTACGTTACAGATCCCTTTGTTATGGAACAACTAATGCAAAGCTGCTGTTCAAGCCTCATGGACAGCCTGAGGGAGAACGCCGAGAGCTTCAGTGTTATCAGAAAGATAAACAGTGCTCGCAATTACAGCGTCACAGGGGACTAACTTTCCACATGCCAATTAAAGAGCAAATGCCATTACTAACGGGAGTGTCCAAATACTCCCCGATGCAACAGTCGACAATTTGCTTCAAATACTTGAGGAACCAATATTTTAAAACAACTCATTACGAATTGATGCTCTTTAAGTTAAATTAAAGGAAGCACGATGAAGTGAATAAGTAAGTTCTATGCTTAAAATACAGCAGGCTTTTAAAATCTACTTAATTATTTACGGAAGATAAGTGGATTTAAAATCTCAGGGGTACCGCTGTGAAGCAACTTTGGAATAATTGACTGTAACTATTCTCCCTGAAAGAGCATGACTCTGGGAAAAGGCCACATCAGCAAATATACCATAACACATTTTTAGCATGTCCACACCACTGCTACATATATCTCAATAGCTTAGAGATCCTATTGTGCTGGTCACTGAAGACCATAAGGTTTTGAAAAGCATATCAAACATCTAGGGGCAACTAAGCAGCCAGTGTTGGTCCAAATAGTCCAAACTGTGACCTACTTGATCAGGTAGTCATATGACTTCTGCTTGCAATAATATATCTAAATAAATCAGACACAAGGGAAGTCCAGTTTCAAATTTTAAGGTCAACTTACCGGATGATTACATATCAATACCACATAAGTCAAAAATGTAAAATACATCTCTGGAATTTATTTCATCAGAGAAGAGGAAAAAAACGAATGAAATGGCTCCAAATGTACTCAAATAAAATAAAGAAAAATAAAAAAAAAAAAAGGTAAGAACTATGAAGTGCCACAAGGGAAACTGAGCTCTCACAGTTGAGCAATATCTTGAAGATGAGCAACGACGAATACCAAAAAGATCAAGAAGGACAGCTAAAATGTTTCAGCCATAGAAACAACAGAAACAAAAAGAGAATGAGGAAAAATAGAACTAGCTCTATAGGATGGCTCAAAATAAAACAAATTTTGCCCATGAAATTCCAAAACAGATTTGTAATGCAGCTGAAAAAGCTAGACTTGAACAGGAAGGATTGTACAGAAATTAAAATTAGTAAAAGCAGAGGCCGTTGCTTTTCCCTGATGTGCACAGCTTTAGCATACATTTGGAAAGAAAAGAAATTAATTTACCAATATCAGTTCAAATTAATTTGATCTGTTTATTACGAAACAGATTCTAGAGAAAACTAGAATACGAAACAGACCTAACCAAACTAAAATATGATTAGGCAATTATCATTTAAAATGTAAAGRTGATAATTAGGACAAAAGTAGAAAAATGGACAAGAAACATGGAAACAAAGAGAAAAAAAAATCACATCATGATGTATCAAAAGAGGAAGTGCTGGCTTTCAGGGAATATACTAATGGAGTTCTATCCTTCCAATTTATTAACTCTAGAAATAAGCCTTTGGATGAAACCTATTGAATATTTCCATTCATGATATTTTCAAGAAAAATATAAATACATTAAAGAAACAAAGAAAATGGCACTGGATCATGTAGAGACTTAGACTCATTATTATGTTTACACCCATTAACACTCTTGAAAACTTCTTGCTTGTTGACAAGTCACTGAATGTCATACCACTCTTTATATTGGAAAGACAATTAACACTAATATTTACATCTGTGTTGAATGTGGGCCACATTTAGCATAGTACCTGTTTATGCTGCATATTAATATATTGTGCTTAGCCCATACAGGGTTATGTCTGTTCATGCACTGACAAATACGTTCAATTTGATTGCTTTTAAATGCATCAGAGATGTGCTCCTGGAAATCACTGTATTATCCCATACTTTTCCTTCCTGTATACTCTTCACACATGCTAGTGGTAGGGAAAGTTTCCATAAAATCAAATTCTCTCCATCAGAATACCAGGGTGTCCAAAATTGGCAGTTTGCTAGGTGAGCTTACTTGCAACATCTGATCCAGCTTCCACTTCACTGATGCCCAAAGAAGCCACAAAATCTCCAGCTATAGTTGGTGCAAGGAATTGTTTTTTCAACTCATCTGAACCAAATCTGCAATAATAGAGCAAAAAAAGATATTTTATTAAAAGAAGGTAAAATTTATCTATGGATTTTGTTCTACCCACACAGAGAGAATATAACTTTCCTATGATTAGGTAAAACTTCTCCCAGAGTCAAGACAGAAGAGTTCCTTAAAATCTGTGATCCAGACTCTTCAGCAGAAGGGGAGCCACACTCATTTTAGTGAGACTACTAGATGCCCCAAATCTGATTTTTTTACGGCTGTTGCATTGATCATTGATAAGTATCAGCTCTATATAAACGTAGTCTSTAGGATTTCCCCTCACTGCTTCTCCAGTCTGCAGTTAGCCAGGATGGAGGACCTCTGCTCCACATATTTGCTAACTTTTGTGCCAGGAAACTCAGCCTTTGCAAGGGTTAGTGGTGATGCAAGGCATGTGCCAAGAAGTTAAAATAGACAATGGTCACTCTCCTCAAAGCCTGAAGAGTATTCTTTTTTTGATGCTTAGGCACCTTGACTGATGCAGAATRTAGTAGGTCATAATGTCATATTCCAAGGCTATTTTTTTTTCTAATCCACATGATTTCCATGTAGGGAGATCAATCCTGCTCGTGGAACAGATCTGATGACCCAAGTAATTTTTTCAGTCTTGCTGGCTCAAGATGAAGGCCATGAACTCACATTCACATCATGGTGAGTTCAATTCATATTCCTGCCCTATCATTAGGTAATCTGACCCCCAATTAGACACACCCCCCCCCAAAAAAAAAAAAAAAAGAAAAAAAAAGGAACTGGAAGGTCTCCTGCTCATCTTTCATGCAGAATATTTTTTTTGTTTTGGACATGATCAAGTATAGCCAGCCATTTAATTACACAAGAAAAACATGAAAACACCGATAATGAGAGGAGCTGGCAGCACTGCCTAGAAGGCTGTTTTGACAATGTCTTCCGATGCTTTTCGCTTTGCCAACCTTTAGTTATTTCAACAGAGGATTTTCATGACAAGAACTTGCCTCAAGATAATGTTTTTGGTTTGATACTTCTGTTTGTTTGTATTAATTTCCAGAAAACAGTTCAGCAGTTCCCAAAAATGAGGCTGGGAAAATGTTACTTTCCCATTAGGGAAAAAAAAAAAAAAAAAAAAAAAAAAAAAAAAAAAAAAAAAAAAAAAAAAAAAAAAAAAAAAAAAAAAAAAAAAAAAAAAAAGTCTGGCAAGGCTATCTCAGAAGATCATGTATCTCTATGCTTTTTTGGAAAGGACATGTTCATTGGAAATGGGAGCATGGGACCCTTCCAAAGTTATCATTCAGAAAGGACAGCTATTATGTCAGAAATATATTGTTCCTGAAAAATTGTACTCATCTTAAACACATCCCAGAAAAAAAACAAAATGCACCTTTAGCATCCCTCTAGAATACCTTTTCATGTATGTGTGTGTATATAGACACACACAYACGTCAATAAACTGGAGTTTAAACAGAAGTCCCAACCGTGACATTTTAATATATGTTGCAAGGAATTAGTTTACTGTTTTTTTGCTCCACACTTAATTAGTAACATTGGTGGAATGTCATGAATACTAACACAAAAATGACAATGATAAATGATGCTAAATTGGGTAAGTGGAAAAAAGAATCACAGTGAAAATACAAATTTAAGAACTTTTCCTTGAGCCACACAGATGTGCASAGATGTTCATGTGCTCTGAAAATTAGAAATTGAAAATTACCTTTACTCATTCTAAATAGACATAAAAATCTGGTTTCTGACAGGTTAAATTGCTACATTGAATGAAAATATGTCTAGAGCACATCACTGTTCTGCCTTAATTGTGCTGATAATCATCCYGTTAGAATCATAGATCCTATTCACGTTTATTTCTTTTTCTTCTGGGAGAAAAAACAAAGCTGAACTGCAGTGAATTAATTCAATTAGTAAGGAAGATTCTGAATGCAGCTGACATTGTACAGCACACTGCCAAGTGCAAATTGAAGTTTTGAATATGAACAGCTGCAGGCACTTCTAACACTACTCTCAGCATGTAACTAATAGCAAATGGCTTAGATCAGTACAGAGTAAACCGGTCAAACAGAAAAGTAATCTTTCCTCCTACTGGTCATGGCTMTGCTTAGTATCTGCTAGAAATAATGGAAAATTCAAACAAAGCTTACTATGACAAAATTTCTACAGTGATCTGATATCACAATGGGTATCACTCTAAGTGTGTTTAGAATCCCAGGTCAATGCATTCCTTCACCGCCTCACCTAACAACTGCTTTCTGCATATTAAAGGAAGTAAAACATTATATCTAGAATGTATTTGTAAATTCTGACAGAAAGTTTTGTTCAAAATCAGCTGCAAAGACCAGATCACTGTTGACAGAACATTTTGCATTTTGTTTGAAAATTTGTAAGTCCTACTGCTTCACTTGGAGAAGTCCAACTYGCTCCATTCTTTCCAGATCCCTTCCAGTGAAACAAAAATATTTCCCCCCATTATTTGTCTGCACAAAATAAGACATCGTACTGAATAACTAGTCAATGGAATTGACTCAATGGTGGTGGAAAAAAGCTCTCTACTGCAGACTCAAATCCAGTTACAGATTTCACCATGTTAACAACATTTTCACTGTCTGAGAACATCTACTTCAAGATTTATCTAGCAGAAATGTATGCAACCCAGCAGCTTCAACTGCTCATTTAGTTATAATGTTCAAGTCAAAAGCTGTATGTTTTGGGGTTTTCTGTCCAGAAATCTTTCTTGGAATTTGCAATAGTTGCTTTCATGCAAAGCTCTCTCCAGCTCTCCAGAAGTGAAGCAATAAATGTAATACTTTCTCTCACTAGGCTGAAGAGTTGACATCCTGTGCCACATACATTGATATTCTTGATGAATCTCACTTCTTTACTACAACAGTAACATATGGCCCTTGCAAAGGAATGAAAGCCTAGGTTCTCATACCTATTGATTTTTTAAAATACTCTGGGAATAAAACACTATCATAAGGGGGAGAAAGTATTCTCTAAGGTTTAAAAAAACAAAAAACACTTTATTCTCTTTTAACCATAAATAAGTTACTGTTGCAACACAAGTAATGAACTGCATACTGCCAGCAGGACKTTGATGTATTACACAAGAAAGAAAACTGTTAGAAATATTTCCCGTGGCTAAGATCTCTAAACGTGCACATAAGAAGTATGGATAGATACCATGGGAATAAATAATTAATTCCAGGCTCTAAAGTTGTGTTATTTTACAAATATTTTAAACCTAAAATGTCTCTTTCCATTATTCACTATTCTATAGGTATTTTGTGTTGGTAAGTTTTTGAGGGCATCATTGTTTGAATTTAATCCCCACAACCACCTTGCAGAATTTTTAGGCATATCCTTATTCCAAGGCTGAACTGCTGGCCGGTCTGTTTATAGCCTCCTTCTAGATTTGCAAGGTGCTGTTTTGATGCAGAATGAAACTACATAAAGAGGAGGAAAATAAGAGTGTAAGTCCCACAAGACAATCCATCATTAGAAAAGAGGGAAAAGAGGAAGGAAGAAGAGGAAAGAGGGGAAAAGAAATTGGATTCAAACAGTGCTGGAGTCTAAATGATAGCAGGGGATAAAAATGTTGAACACTGATGTAATACAACGTGCAAAAGCAAGGTGGGTAAATGCATGGAAACTTTAAGGACACATGTAGGTAGTATGATATATGAGCTAGTTTTAGGAGTACTTACAACAATACTGATTATTATTTCTGAAAAATCACAGAGAAGAAAAAATTGGGAAAAAATAGTAAATTGTAAAATAAAATTAGACATTCTAATTATTATAACAAAATACATTCTTGCACTGAAACATCTGMTAAGAAAGAAAACCAAGTTACAAACAATACAGATTTATGAATAGGGGGATTCTGACATCAAGATTTTTTTGTCAGCTGCAGCACCAGTGTGCTGTGCTTGGAAACATATAATTTTATTTTTGTTTATTTATTTTTTTTAAAAAAAATTTTAATTTTTTTAAAAAAAATCGTACATCCCAACATTAAAGAATGAGTATTCTTTCCCCTAAGTAGAAAGCTTCCTGAAGGACAGGTTAGAGAGCAGTTTCCTTTTTCAAGTGCTTCTGAAGAGTAACTAGTAATTAAGTCTGTGCAAGGTTTCCTCCTACTCCTAAGGACATGACTGACAGTTGGGGTTTTAGGCAAAACCAAGCATTGAGAGAATTACCTTGTTAGAGCRGGTGTGCTCATGCCAATTTGTACTCCAATGGCCAATGGAATACCCCCACACCGGATATTTCCCAGTTCTTCTGCCACTGCAATGTTATAGGAGAAGTCCAAACCCATGCCACCATATTCTGAGGGGAAAAAAAAAAAAAAATCTGTGATTCCAGTGCTCGATAGTTATAAGCAATCCAAAAAAAAAGTTTAAAAATGCTAAAGGGCTTGCAAACTAGAATTTTAATGCTTATTTTTAAACGTTTGATTATTATCAGTTTTCCTTTCAAAAGGAAAGGATGTCACATTTTTCTGAAAAACAAGAGTAAACAATAAAACAAAATTACATCTGCTGTAACTATCCRTATGTATATCAGGTCACCTCTAGATATCTCTAAACATGCTAAGTWGCATTTTAGTATCATTACTTTTACTGGAAACAGCAGAAAAAAAAATAAAGGGCTACTGAAAACAACATCTGTAGACAAAATTACTCTTTCTCTTTCTTGCAGTACAGTCACAGGAAAAAAATGGCACAAGGTTAAGACGTGGTTCTCTTCCTCCATGAGAGCTCTCCACACAGATGCTCCCATCCCTGCTATGCTGAGCAGGAGCTAATGGTCCTTGTCCTGAACACTGATGCCAGCACTAAGCAATTGCAGCCCCGTGCTTAGGCTATCCCTATGGTAAATTACCACTGTAGCTTGGTATCAATATTTGGCAGAATTGGGATATCAAATGTGCCTATTTCATATTCTAGCAGCCGGATGCCATAATCATGGGAACATTTTTCATTATCACACGGATGACGTGCTGGGTGGTAAGGCACAAGCACCRACGATTCTTCCTCCCCATGTGCCATCCCACACATTCAATTAAGAGGAYGTTATTCCTCAGCTCCTTCCCAATGACACGGCAGTGTCTAGGGCTCATAGACAACCATATAGTGAAACACAGAAAATTCTGTGATAGATGAGGTAATTTCTAGCCACAGCAAGTAGTTCACATTCCAGAGGAAATACAGTGATAAATCAAAGGTTACCACTTGATGCTAGTAGTTGATGGAGGATTTTTGATCAGATAATGATGCCCACCCCCTATCCCATTCTTTTTAATTCATCTGAAGAGCAGGTAAGAAAATATCCAACACAGACGCAATCTCCACCCCACAACTGCGCCCCATTTGGGGCAAATGAGCACCTGCCATCTGCACAAGCAAGTGCACTTGCTGACATCAAACATTACATGAGCTCATCTATCCCTTGAAGTTTTTTTAAAAATATCACTAACGAAAAATGGAAGAAACAGGGTCCTTTATGAAATAACTACTTTTCAAAAGTTTCATATAAAAATAAATCATGTTTCTTGAGAATATATRCAATTTAAAGATTAATTCCTACTGGGAGCTTATGCAATACAGTAAATAACAGTAATATGGAAATGTCCTTAGCACAATATGTAACTCAATTCTCTTACCTTCACAAAACCCTCACCAATAAATAAATGGCCTAAGGAATGGTATGCAACGCCTGTACAAATAAAGGTAATCTGTTTAAAAATTTGGTTGGTCTAAAAATTTTTTGTCAGTTTTGCACATTTTATAGTAGTGCAGATTTGGATGGATTTTTCCATTTATTTCCCTCACTCATCAAAACTTTCATACTTGTCTTTCTCAAAGTAATTTCAGAAGGGCAGTTTATTGACATGGAAAGGAAGGACCATTTTAAATTAAATGTGCAGATCATATACATTCGTTGTTCATGACGTATTATAACCCTAATTCATGACGTATTATAACAGACCCAATGTGGTTTTCTAAGATCAGTTACTAAACTGTACATTTTAAAAACAAAATGCTGTAAAAAACAGTAATAAATCCCATCCGAGAGAGAGAAGAAAAACATCATGAAGCCCCAGGGTGGGGTTGAAGAGACAGGGCCCTAGCAGAGTGCAGTGCTGATGCACGCTGCAGCCAGCTTGCAACGAGGGCACAGATAACACAAGAGATGACCAATAGATGGAGATAGGGAGAAAGGCAGAAACAAACCGAGAACATTAATCAGCACAAAAACACCTAACTTGATATCCGTTTTGTTCCAGAAGCCAAAGGATAAAAGGTTTCATGAAGAAAGGGGGGCAATTGGATGGATCATTACTGGGAAGAGTGTAGCCATTCCTACTGGACACAGCACTTGACAGAGACAGACAAAATGGCCTGTGCAGCTTTATCCCAGACTAACTTGGGTAACTTTTATGATATGACTAAAGACAAATTTGTCCCATTTGCGTCAACGCTTATGTTTCACTCATTGCAGTTGGGTTAGGGAATGTTGTGGGTTCCTGTTTGTTATCATAAGTTCTGAATTCAAAGCCCAGACAAGGAAACAAGATTATTTCTATTTCTATTTACTTGAGTGATAAGTATGAACATTTTACAGGATATGAATGTTTAAGATTTATTTGGAATAAGCATCTGTTAAGAGGGTTGTATTAACCAGCTCTACAAGCAAGTAACACTTCTCAGAAGTATTTGTCCAATGAAGTACTAGCTTAGAGCAATAGTTCAAGCTAGTTTTCATTCAGAAAAACAAATATCACCCAAAATATTTTTTGTGAGAAATCCATGGTGAAAGAAACCAGAGTCTTTTAAAATAACAAACTATATGTAAATATTCAAATGGAAAATATCTCAAGGGCAAATATTTCGTTTAACTTTACATTGACACTTGTGACTTCAAAAGAAATATTGAAAAGCAAAAATAAAGCCAAATGATGCAAATCTAATGTGGTAACACATTAATAACTCAAAACAAGTAGAATAAGGCAATCTACCACATTCATATTGTTCGTGTATTGCTGAAAATATTATAATTTCTAGAAGTTAAACATAGATGAATCTGATATCCTGCCCATTATTCACGGATTTCAGGTTCTTACAAAAAGAAAGAGAAATTAAATGACAAAAAAGAGAGCATACATGAACATACAAAGAAAGAAAAAGTTCCTTACTATGCCTTTAAAATTCACTCCAATCACAGAGGTATGAGATGTTTATAAAAGAAATAATCATCATCACTATCAAAATTCACTATCATATTCTGTAGATGCAAGGTTAACTACATTAAACTCTTAGTAAAGGAACTGAGTTGCACTTCCATAGTATATTAAACTTGCTTTTTAAAATTGCTTCTGTGGTTTTCTGCTAACCACAACCATATAATTTGAACCTGAGAGAAAATGAGATCCTAATTTTATATGGGGCAAACTATTTCTACGCTGTTAAGTTTGTGAAGCAGGAGTTCAAGATAAATCAAGTTTTAGAAAACTTTTTTTCTTAAGATGCAGATGTACATTCTTCTTCTAAATAATTTCATTTGATATCAAGATATTTATATACAAGCATATACAGACAGCAAAGACAGCGTCCTTAAATGGAAAAAAGAATTTATCTAATCGTCAGCTACAAGAAGTCAAAACAGAAGCACTTCTAAGAAAATCAGTGGGGAAAATAGTCAAGGACAAAAAAGAGTCTGTGCAAAGGGACTTACAAAGGCAAAGAACAAGCTGAGGTCTTTCGTATAAGAACTCTATTTATACAAAGATGAAGACATTTCTTATGAATTGCTCACGTACAGGCAGCTCCCTGTTCAAAAAATTACTGTGTTCAATGAGGAAACAGGTCTGAAGAGTTTAGTCCAAATTTGGTGAGAGTTTAAGCTTGTTCCTACTGGGAATTCATTTTTCTGATCTCCATTTATCAGCTCTCAGTTGCAATGACATCACCTGTAGTGAAAAAAGTTTATAAGAGAGTAGATGCAAGGCAAAAACACAGGCTCTGCAGAGTATTTTAAGAATGTGAGTTAGCCTGGAAAAAGGAATAGTGAAAACACAATATAGGTGTGTGGTTACTCAGTCTTTAATGCAATCTCGTTTACTTAGAGAATTGCCAAAATTCACATAACATATATATCTACCAGAGGAGATCATGCAGAATTATTTCTGCTATTGCCACGTAATTCAGTGMTAAAGATGCTTTTTAATGACTTTAGAAAATAAAACATGAATCAACTCCCATTTAGAAGACAGGTCTGACAGAATCCCACATCTCCAAGATGACAGAGCTAACTGGCAGTTTTCACCATAACCTATAATTTTAAATCAACTGAAGCAAATTTTAAGTTTCAAACCTTGCTCACTTGTCATAAATACAGTTCAAGATTTTAAACTCCGGAAGACTAAGAGTCCTCACATTACATAACTGTGTCATCAGTTTGCACAGCATATAAATCTTACATAAAAGAYAAGAAAGGAGTTTGGGTAAGTGCAACCTAAAGAATTTTCCCCAGTGTGTTCTCTTTGATGTTCAATTGGCAGCAAACCATTTTCAAAACTTCAGRTTGATAAGATTAGGAAATACCTATTGCCTTCATGGTTTTTGCTTTATTTCTGTGTGCAGTGAAAAAAAATCCTTCTCCTTTCATATAACAGAACACTGTGATTCCACTTCAGGCTCACTGTTTTTTTGTTTGTTTTGTTTTCGTTCTTTGGTTAATTTACCCAGACCAGTCCACAGAAAGCCAAAGGAAAAAAAATACTCTTGTGATATGGTATTCTTTAGAAAAGGAAAAGGAATTTTGTGTTCATTCCTTTCAAATAGTTACAGTTAGCCARAACGAGTAGGCTCCTATGCCAATTAGTGACGCAAATGAGGTGTTCCTGCAATACTCTTTACTCTGCATTATAAGTCGTCATTGTTACTGCTTCAGAAAGCAAATTATTGAGATGAATAATTGGAGGTAATTGGAGCTGCCTAGCACTGTCTTAGATGAGGGGTAGAGATATCCTGGAAAATACAGAGGAAATCTTCCTCATAGTTCAAGGAAAAGAAACTTCCCTAGAAAAATACATATATTAACTCTACAAAACCTGTTATTGAGCAAATCTGACAAGCATTGCATCAACATATTTTAAAATGGTGCATAATGGCCAGTCCTGACATCAGTGTGAATCAGCCCTTGGAGACACTGAAATAAGGATTCAGATTTAATGAGACATCTATCAACCCATGTAAAATTTGTTCTTCATCCCAAGAAAATGACTGCAGCTTGAAAACTGAAATAGCTTAAAAGCAGATAGTCAA